AAGCTGTGAGTTTAGTGTTTGGTTTATGTTCCTACCCTCGTCTTTGGCCTGAAGCTGTGGGAGCTGACTGAAAGGTCGTGGATTAAAGCGCTGAAGCTCCGATGTGCAGTTAGCATGAGGAGCAGATGTCGAGTGAGGGCGAGGGACACAGAAACATCGCGGGGTTGACACTACAGTTGTAGCTGGCTGCTTCGTTCTCTGTTGGTCAGCATCATTGTGTGTTTGTCCTCTTCCAGACCTGATCCTGCGCATGCTGGACTACGACCCTAAAAGCCGCATCACGCCATTCTACGCCCTGCAGCACAATTTCTTCAAGAAAACAACAGATGAAGGAACCAATACTAGTTCATCTACATCCACCTCTCCTGCCATGGACCACTCTCATTCTGCCTCCACTACTAGCTCTGTTTCTAGCTCTGGTAATGTCCACTCTTCTCTTTCTGCCCAGCTTGCCTTGAACTTTCTGTATCTGTTAGAATGAGGAAGATGTCGTCGTCACAGGTCCAGAGAAATGGTAGCAGTTTAGGTTTCATCCCTAAAACGTCTCAAGCAGGATTTTGTTAGGTTTTAGAAATACAGGTCCTAGATCAGGTAGACAGGAGTGTAGTGAGGGTCTATGGAGGGTCTCTATACTTAAACACCGTCCCTGTCAGCCCATTACTTTATGTCTCAGTCAGGTTTTCATAGTTTTCTTGATGAACATCAAACTGCCGACACAGGTGAGTTCATTCTCAGGAAAAGCAGATCGACTCTTTAGTCTTCAGCGTCGCACAAACACGCTGCGAGTCAGAACTGAACTCCAGGCCTGGGCGTTCGTGGCGGGGTGCATACCCGACAGAGGCGCCTTCAAACCACCCTACTGAAGCCACGCCCCTCCTCTTCTTCTGTTTTGTAAATGTCGATTTTTTCTTTTAGTTCACACAGAATGAATAAAAGTATAAATCCATGAAGTGAAGCTGAATTTAATGTTGGTGTCGATTATTTCCAGGTGGCTCCAGTGGTTCTTCCAATGACAACCGCAACTACCGCTACAGTAATCGTTACTACAACTCTGCTGTTACACATTCAGACTATGAGATGACCAGCCCTCAGGTACCACTGTCGATGTTTGCAGACACAATAACAGACCATTATTGACACGGTGTGAGGACCTTTGCATCAGACGCTGCTGCAGGAATGTTTGTCCCGGTCAGATTACTGCAGCAGTGATGAAATATTTTGGCCACACTCGTTTTTTCTGACCATAATCCTTTTTGAGTAGTTTTATTTTGAAAATCTGCATGTTGATTTTAACAATTGTGAAAGACAACAGTATAAGCATAACAAACTCTTCACTTCCATCCATGAACATCAGCATTCATTAGAGGTGGGAATCACCATACATCCCACGATACGATATTATTGCAATTTTTTAAAA